CATTTAAACACACACACAAACTTACCAGACTCCATCTGAAACATACTAGTAGAAAACACAAACATAATAATCTCATCCACCTGTAAGAAAAAGATTAAAAATAATGGAAGCTTTAATAATAAAAAAGAAAAAGCCAACTCTTAACAATATTAATTACGAACAAGGCCACAATGTGCTAACCGTGTTGGGAAAATAAATCATCTCTATAACACACTAAAAGCATACACATACTGCACACTTTTTTTTTTTTTTAAGCATTTCACCCCAAGCAAGGTGGGAAGCCACTAGGACGCAAGGGGTTACAGAAAATAGGAAGATCAGATAGGAGTGATAGAAGAAAGGATGAGGGTAGTAGATAGATTAAGGCAACTGGAGATGTCGATTGACATTACACTTGAATAGCTGGAGATTATAACTCAGGGAAACAGGAGAAGGGGAGAGAGTTCCACAGGCGAGAGGTGCAAGACATGAAGCTATTAGAGTAGAAGAGACGGCTACATTTAGGAGTTTCGACAGTGAGGGGTGAGAGGGATGCCAGCCGTAGGGGGCTTGAACTCATGAAGTCTGGGAACCAGCGAATGCAGCTCCTCGGAGCAATTTCCATGAAAGTATTTGTAGAACAGACAGAGGGAGGTGACGGTGCGTCTGTGAGAAAGTGACTGTGAGGCAGGACGCCAGGGCAGGGCCAAGCCATGTGCATATCCGCTTCTGGAGCCTATCAAGAACCCTGAGGCAAACAGAAGGGCGCCAGACCATATATGGCAGCGCTCAATTAAACGAAAAAATAAAATCATCCTTGATAATAGCTGAAAGTGCTGGGATCAATAGAACATTTGTACAGTTTCTAAACGCTGTGTCCAAAAACGAAAGCATTTGTTCGAATACAAGAAAAATTAGACAAAAGCTTAACCATAGTACCTTGTCTGCTGCTTTTACTGAAGCATGTATAAATCAAGGATTGCTGCCTAAATACACAAATATATATATATATATATATATATATATATATATATACACACACACACCAGTTGTAACAGCAAAATTGTCCAAATCGTATAAATATGGAATAATTGTCCACGCCACAAAATGTTTAATATCTAAAAAATCACTAAATGAATTTTCTTTATTCCAGGTTTTCAGATAAGACGTTTAGCCATCTTGACACCATTTATCGTAAGAATCACTGAAAAATCCTTTATTCAGCTAGAAAGAGAACAGATTAAAATTGTTTTGTGTCAGCCCCATGATGTCTTCCCAACTGAGCCAAAGTGAGTGGAAAAAGATCATTCAAGCCTTCAGTAATGGTACCAAAATCATACTCTGGCTTCCATGTTCAAAGTCCATTTAAGAATTATGAAGAAAATGGTGAATAAGTATAATTGGATCGGGAGGTCATGACAGCAAGAGGGATTAACATTTCAAGTTAGAGCTAAATTCATTCTTATTGTTTAAAGTAGAGTCCATTAATGTTATTTAAAAACTCAGAGAATTCCAGTAAGATACAAAAGGTTTAAAGCTTAATCTAACAATTGGACAATTTTGCTGTTACACAATTTAGACAATTTTGCTGTTACACAATTTAGACAATTTTGCTGTTACACAATTTAGACAATTTTGCTGTTACATAATTTAGACAATTTTGCTGTTACACAATTTGGACAATTTTGCTGTTATAGCAAGTATATAATTCCATATGTTTTTGATTCATGCTTTTTCAATGGAATTAGATACTTTTTAATAACTCTTTTGTTTTTTCAGCCTAAAATCAAATATGAAATTCCATTGTTTGGAGAATCAAAGGAAAAAGCAATGATGCTTGGGAGAAATCTGATATATAAAACATGGATCAGGAAACAAGACAACATAAGAGATAATATAGAAGTAATTAAACAGTAAAAATGGATATGAACAGGACATGTAGGAAGAAGAAAAGGTTACAGGTGGAGTAAAAGGTTGCTTTATTTGTGCCCAGTAGGTTAAAAATGCAGTTGGAAATGGAACAGACAAAAGATGGAAATAGTAAATAAATGATATTTGTTGGAAAGACTAACTAGGTTGTTCATCAAGATATCCCCATGGTTTATCATAGGGTTTCAGTTGTGTATATATTAGTAGACACAAGATGTTAAGTATTCCTGCAATTTCCATCAGACTCACCTTAAGGATCTTTTGCATGGCGCCATTGCAGTCTAATGCCAAATATCTGGTCTATTAGATTCTGTTATTGACCACATTCAACATTCTACTGTTGATGTTTTCAGAGTAAACCTGGCAGAGTTGGCTTCTGAGTGTTATGCCTTGTCAAAGGGAAATCCATGGGTAATCCCTGGACCACATATGGTTTTGAATTCTGAGTTGGCTTTCTTCTAGACTGATTTCCAACCATGGCTATAAAATAAATGGATTCATACCTTTCTCCAGGGTATTTGCACATAGCTGTATGTAACTGATTTCCAACCATGGCTATAAAATAAATGGATTCATACCTTTCTCCAGGGGCACATAACTGTATTAACTGATTTCCAACCATGACTATAAAATAAATGGATTCATACCTTTCTCCAGGGTATTTGCACATAACTGTATGTAACTGATTTCCAACCATGACTATAAAATAAATGGATTCATACCTTTCTCCAGGGTATTTGCACATAACTGTATGTAACTGATTTCCAACCATGGCTATAAAATAAATGGATTCATACCTTTCTCCAGGGTATTTGCACATAACTGTATGTAACTGATTTCCAACCATGACTATAAAATAAATGGATTCATACCTTTCTCCAGGGTATTTGCACATAACTGTATGTAACTGATTTCCAACCATGACTATAAAATAAATGGATTCATACCTTTCTCCAGGGTATTTGCACATAACTGTATGTAACTGATTTCCAACCATGACTATAAAATAAATGGATTCATACCTTTCTCCAAATAACTGTAAACTGATTTCCAACCATGACTATAAAATAAATGGATTCATACCTTTCTCCAGGGTATTTGCACATAACTGTATGTAACTGATTTCCAACCATGGCTATAAAATAAATGGATTCATACCTTTCTCCAGGGTATTTACACTTAACTGAATGTAATAAACTTCACTGGAATTTGAACCACTTTCTGATATTCTCATTCCAAGCCACTATCCAGTACACCGTCCGAACATTCAAAAACATGGCAGAGAATTACATTGCCACGGAATATTTTGGTAAAATGTTTTACTATGCAGTCAACCAGCAGTGGCTGATAATGAGACTGATATTTTGTTATCTGAATTCAGAGACAGTGATAATTAAAGAGGAGATTTGAGGCAGTGGAAATGTGGTTTTTCAGGAGGATGCTGAGTATACAATGGATTGAACATGAGAGCAATGACAAAGTTTTAGAGAAAATTGAAGCTAAAAGAAACATCAGTAAGAGATCGTTGTGGTTTCTAGGGAACATAATGAGGAAAGAGGCTGGGAAAAACTAATATTCACAGGATAGATTGAAGGCAAGAGAGACAGAGGAAATGTTTAGGATAAGAAAAAGACAAAATTTATTAAGAGCTGCAAAAGATAAGAAATTGAGGAGAGCCATGATCACCTATATCCAAAAGGAACATGGTACATAGAAGTAGATATATTATTTACATTAGATGGAACTTTGTCCTCATCTTCATTGTCATATTAACAATGTTTTAGCTGTTGTATGCTCCGGCCTTCTTCAGGTGATTGGAATTTTGAACTGAACACTTTATTTCATCCACTAGGGCAGATTGTTCTAGTTCCACATGCCATGACTCTTCCAGATGTCTCAGTATCAGTTATATACCTTTAACTCAACTCTCCAAGATTTTTGTTCAGTAGCCAGGTATTGAACAACTCTTTGGGTAAATTCACTGGATTCAGCCAATTTTTTTTTACCTGCCAGGCCATGTGTCCTTGAGATCAGAGCATGATTTTTCAGTAAAGAGGAGGATAACTTTCTGAACAATGTAAATAGTGTAAATAGTTATAATACGTCATCTGAGAAACATAGACAGATCTCCAAGAAGGCCAGAGCATAGAATGGCTGAAACACTGTGAATATGGTAATAAAGATGAGGACAAAAGCCCAAAAAATGTAAATAATGTAAATAGTTACAATACCTCTTCTTAGAAATATAGACAATTGTCCAAACAATGTGAATAGTTACATATTTATTCCCGTATAATGTAAAACAGTTTGCATCAGAATTAAAAGTCTAAAAGGGGGGTCTCACCAGCATCATCTATCTTCTAAAAGGAGAAGTGATCCTTTGTTATCACACCCAGTCTAGGCACACATGTTTGAAATATCTATGCATTTGTCTGTGTTGTGTGTATGTGACTAACATATGCCTTTTTTTAACATATGCCATTTAAACTAGACACAAGCAAAAACACACATTTATACAATATGAGAGTTTGAAATAAGATACTTGAATGATGTAGTCATCTCTCATCTCAGAAATATAGACAGATCCTGAAGAAGGCCAGAGCGTACAACAGCCAAAGCTTCATAAATATGACAATAAAGATGAGGACAATCGTTCGAACAATATAAATAGTTACAGTACCTCATCTCAGAAATATAGACAGACATTTAATACAAGTTGGAAACACACAGTCCAAATTCTGATTTTTCTTACAAAAGTTTATTTTGGTAATATAGAATTATTTTCCCCTTTCTTTCATCTTCATTCTTTGTTTATTGGCTTTTAAATTTGGATTGTCATAATCTATCTTCAAGCCAAATAGTGATCTGGTTTCAGTCAACAGAATATCATATCATGAACTTTCATTTCTTTCATGATTCTCCTCACTTTTTAATGTAGGATTTGATGACTGCGGTTAATTCATCAGATTTCAGTTTCAAATCAAATTTGATAACCTGGCAGAAAGAGTGATGAGCCATGAAACTTTTGAATATTCACTGGTGGATTTTACATCAATTTAGAAACTTGCATTTGATTAACGACCTTCTTGAAAATGGGTCAACTATTGAGCTTCATTACGATAAATAATCTTTTCTGCTTGTCTGGACGTACAATATTTATTCCCGTATAATGTAAAACAGTTTGCATCAGAATTAAAAGGCAAAATGGAGGTCTCACCAGCATCATCTATCTTCTAAAAGGAGAAGTGATCCTTTGTTATCACACCCAGTCTAGGCACACATGTTTGAAATATTTATGCATTTGTCTGTGTTGTGTGTATGTGACTAACATATGCCTTTTTTTAACATATGCCATTTAAACTAGACACAAGCAAAAACACACATTTATACAATATGAGAGTTTGAAATAAGATACTTGAAGGATGTAGTCATCTCTCTCTCAGTCTGAACAACAACCTACCTTGGGCTGAATAACAACCTACCTTGGGCTGAGTAGTAAAATACTAAAATAAGAAACAAAACAAAGTAAAAAATCTTAATGTTTTAAACACTGGAAAACTTCAGATAGTTATATAATCACATTTATTGAACTTTTCAGAAATTATTAGATAATAAATAGAATTATTTTTTCAAGATGTGTTGGGTTGTAGAAATATTTTTTGGTATGTTATTGTATTAAAATATACAAGTGCACACACAAATATACACACACAATTTACTGAAACTGAAATAAACATTAGTTGTGTTTTTTTTTTTGTATAGAAGCCAGTAACATCTGCCGAATTTGAAATTAAGCCCACTTTTCAGTATGCTACAAATATTTTTATAATGATGAGGATATCGTATATGAGCCTGTTCTTTGGTTGACTATAAAAAATTGTGAGGTCAATGTACTTTCGTCTTTCAATCAGACTGAGATTTTTAAGTCAAAATTGTACTCAGATGTAGCTTCAGTATGAAAAACAACTCTTTCATCACAACATGAGACAAGAATGTTTTGTTCCTATTCTCCATATTCCAACCCTCTCTTTTCACAAATGAATAACAATGAATAATTACATAATAATAAATTCATGCAACTACAGATTACATTTACTTTTCTCATAACCATTCCACCAGTCCACTTCTCACTCGCTCTCATTATCTATCTCTCTATTTATCTGTCTATCAATCTATCTAAACCTGTTCTTGTCACTCACTCTCTAAGGCCATTCATATCTATCTGTCTTTCTCTGTTCATATCTATCTGATCTTATCATCTATCTATCTATTTATCTATCTATCTATCTATCTATCTATCTATCTATCTAATCCTGTACATTATCTATGTATCTATCTCAGCCTATTCATATCTATCTATCTATCTATCTATCTATCTATCTATCTATCTATCTCATATCTATCTATCTATCTATCTATCTATCTATCTATCTATCTATCTATCCAATCCTGTTCATATCTATCTACATTATCTATCTATGTATCTATCTCTATCTATCTGTCTATCTATGTATCTATCCCAGCCTGTTCATTCATATCTATCTATCTATCTATCTATCTATCTATCTATCTATCTATGTATACCTGTTCATATCTATCTATCTATCTATCTATCTATCTATCAATCTATGTATCTATCTATCTAATGTATCTATCTCAGCCTGTTCATATATCTATCTATCTATCTATCTATCTATCTATCTATCTATCTATCTATCTATCTATCTATCTATCTATCAATCCTATCTACTGTATCTGTCATTATATATGTATCTATCTCATCCTGTTCATCTATATCTATCTATCTATCTATCTATATCTATCTATCTATCTATCTATCTATCTATCTATCTATCTATCTATCTATCTATCTATCATCCTATACATTATCTATGTATCTATCTCATCTATCCTGTCTATCATCTATCTATCTCTCAATCTATCAACCTGTTCATATATATCTCAGCCTGTTCATATCTATCTATCTATCTATCTATCTATCTATCTATCTATCTATCTATCCTTGTTCTTCTCACTCTATCACAACTGTTATGATCAAACATGAGGTCTACATTCCAGATTTTACTAATTTATTACAAATGGCAGCAATTTGTTTATAACTAATTAGAATTTTATCTCCTATTCAATTCATCCAAATTATGCAAATGGATCTTTCCGTCATTCTATCATTCCGTAAATAAATTTGTAGATTGCAAAATACATATTTATTTTATTCATCAATAAAACATGAAGTGGCTAATAACAGGAGACAGGAATATTTTCTAATTCTAGTAAAAAAACCCGAGGAGACCAAAGTCTCTATTGATTCCAGACACAAGTTGGTCAAGGCATGTGACCACATTCTTTGCAGATCTACCAACAGGTTATATGATTTTACATAACACAACTCATTTACTGACAAGAAAACTCTAAAAGTTATATTTGAGATTTAAATTAAGATCATTAATTTTTCTATTACAGATGTGAAGTAATGGTGAGTCTGGATTTTGCCAAATTATGGAAGGTTAGAAATTAATGGCCATTATCCATGTGTCTTCTGGCATCCAAAAACCAAACAAACCTGAGAACTTTTTGTAAGTAAAAATGACTTAGAACCAATTATCATTAACTTATACAGAAACAAGCAGGCAAAAAAAAAATAAATGTGTGAGTTTTTAACTAAGATTGGTAGTCTGACAATGATTGCAGGAAAGAATTTAATTTAATTTCAAAGAGCACATAGGTTTTGGTCAGGTTTTATATATATATATATATATATATATATATATATATATATGTGTATTTAGGCAGCATCTTTTCATTCATACACGTTTCATTAAATTATATAGACAAGTGTTGTCTACTTATTTTATGTAAACATTGACAGACTATCATCACCGTCTTGTCCGTATATTGTTTAATATGTTGTAATTGAAATCTTTGATAATGGCTTAAGTAAGCCGAAAGCTTAGATTGTATTAAAAAAAAAATATGGATCACTATTGTGAATTTCTTTCTTTGTTCAACGATAATGTTATTAAACATATCAGATGTTACAAAAAAAATTTACATAAAATAAATAGACAACACTTGTCTATATTATTTAATGAAATGTATATATATATATATATATATATATATATGTGTAGTGCATGTGCATATCTGTGTGTGAGTGTGAAAACAATGTCAACAAACCCAATCTGATGAAGTCCCAACAGCTGAAATATGTCATAAAAACTTTTTCCAATTTGTCATACATGTTTTATTTCAAAATTTTTGATATATAAAAATTCATATATGACTATCCCCTATATATGTATGTATATATTTTAATCATTTCACCCCAAGCAAGGCAGCAAAGCCACTAGGATACAAGAGTTTACTGAGTGTTAAAGAATATGAGAAAAACTAGTATTAAGGAGAAATGACGATAAAAGAATAAAAATTAAGAAGACAGATGATAACAATTAACATTGTATTTCAATTTTTGAAGATCAAAATTGACTAGAAGAGAGTTCCACAATTGAGAAATGGAAGAGAAGAAACTTTTAGCATAAAACTTACAGTTCTCTCAAGCAGCCATTTCAAAATGATGAAAAATGATGAGACATTGACACCAATCTAATGTACTACTGCGTTTAAATTCATAAAGTCTAGTTACCATAGAGTAAAGTTCATCAGAAAAATTACCATAAAAGTATTTATAGGAAAGGCTCAGAAAGTTGTGGGAAAGGGACTGAAGCCGAGATGCCAAGTCAGGACCAATGACATTGCACATTCTCAATGAATCAAGAATCTCTAAATATATAGCAGTAGCACCACACTAGATGTGACAGCAATATTCTAAGCAAGGCTAAATGGTAGACTTATATATATGCAACATAGATTCTGATGAAAAAAATTACCTGGCAAGACATAGCGAACCAATTTTCTTAGCTGCAGACTTAGCAATGGATTCAATATACTCTTTCCACTTCATGTCAGCTGAAAACGTTAGTCCGAAAAAGTGCAATGAGTCAAATAAACACACACACACACACACACACATATATATATATATATATATATACATATATATATATATATATATGTATATATCTGTGTTTGTAGTTGTGTATTTCGACAGCAGTCCTTCTTTGAGCCCTGACTCCCACTTTACTGGTAGAAGAGAAAAATGATGTAATGCCTAGTCATTGGTTGAATGGTGGGTAAACACTTCTAACTATTTTTATATCTACTGTCAAACATTACATACCAATTATTTGCAAATTTTGACTCAGGAGCTCAGGCAAAAGGGTTAAAATTTTTCATGAACACAGGGATCAAGGTTAAAACATGTTTTGTTAAACAATATTGACAATGTAATTTTTCTTAATTTTTTTTTTAATATTTTTCTTTTATGCAAACAAGTAGTTTTCTTTTCTGAACTTAATGAATGTAGAAATTTTCAAATTATATTTTTTGATTCCAATTTTAAATAGTCTGTAAGTACTTTTGTAGACAATCTAAATGTTTCTGAAAAGAAAACCTATTCTTAATATCCGAATTTTCAGCAACTTTTAGATGGTTTACATATACATAGATATATTCAATAAATCAAGAAAAGTTCAAGTGATCCTTCATTTTTGATGGTGAAACTCTCAGATCCCTCAGTTTTTTTATTATATTTATATATATATATATATATATATATATATATATATATATATATATATATATATAATCTTACATTGGAACATGCAAGTTACCATGACAAAATGCATATTTGTTTCAACTACCAAAGACATCTGGTCAAGTGTTTAACAATCTTGGTTATATATATATATATATATATATATATATATATAAATATATATATATATATATATATATATATATATATATATATATATATAAGCATTTAAAATTTGAATGAAACCTGTCGTGTAATTTATTGGGGTTGTTGTAACGTCTTCCTTTAATGTAATTCTTATCATTCACCCTTAACCACCTTTATCTAGAGACGAGACACGTTAAATTTGAGCAACATCCAGCCGACACACTGGGGGTTAAAATAGGAAACTAAAATGATACATATGACACACTCATATCC